CCAGTCGCGTGCTAGTATTTTTGGAGTTGTTGAGGTGCTGTCTGTGCCGCACGTTTTCTGATTGGTTTGTATTATCGTCGGATGTTTTGTATTCCATAAGCGGGGACATGTACGCGCATAGCTGACGTCACTCCGACGCTCGATTCACCACAGTCGTCCGGAATCTATAACATGTAGCTCCGTGGTATAAGTAATCTCGTATGCTAGGATCACCACAATATATTGGAACCTTGTTGGTTCTGATAAATATGTATGGTTATGTAGCCATGTCATGATAGTCCTCAAATAAATCGGATTAGTTTTAAACCAAACCTGTCCTTCTGCCAACAACAATAGTGAAATTGCTCCTTGTGCACGGTTAAATGATCACGTCCAGCGTATGTGAATCTAGCAAAATACTTAGGGTAATATAAGCGTGAAGAGGAGAGAACTGACATTGTGAAACTGTCGGTTAAAGAACCACCACATGACTACTTGAAATAGATGGTCTTTTTGTGTTGATGAACCAAAAAGGTATATTGGTCCGGAGTAGAAAATACAAAAATGTTCAGTTGGAAATATAAGTCACATTCCAGTCCTTAGGAAATCGATTGTACTTATTTATAAGCGATGGAAAGATTCACGGTGACCGACAAAGAACACTAGACAACTAGGAGTAATATTCAACAGCTAAAAGGAGCAAGCATTACCATTTTCCCTGAAGAAAGAAATCCGTTTGGGATACCCAATCCGGTTGTATATAAGCCTGAATCGAATAAAAATATAATTATATTATATTCATTCGGAACATAGATCACGTGATCTCTACATCGACTTAAAGATTAAAATATGGACTATGTTGTGACCGGCCGGAAACATTTACAAAATGCTGTGATTCGGTGCCCTAATTGAAGTGCCTGTGAAATCTTTGCCACGTGTGAAGAAAGCATCCGGTTACTTTGATACACATTTTGGATAATAAATTTAAATCGTAAACTGTTTGATTTTGAGAAAAATTAACTTCATGATTTAAGTCCTCTGTCGATGTGACCACGAATGAGACCGCTTACTGGTGGTCACTATTATGGGGGTACTGTGTTTAGTTTTTCACAACCAACGAATTCGCGAATTTGTTTGAAAGGAAATAAATTCAAGGAGAGGCTCGAAACGTTAACGTAAAAGGGGTTCCATTTTTGGAATCGGGTTCATAAGCAATCGACACTGAAGGAAACTGTACAGGTAGAAGGAGTTATTTGTACCTCTCACCTTGCCTTAGAAGAAAGATAAACAATGTGAACGCGAATAGCTGATCCATGGTAACTGTAGTATGTTATTTTCATTGATTTTTTTCTACCCAAATTTGAATCTGATGCTTCACACTGAGCTGTATCCGGAAATCTTGCAACGGATGAGGAACCAGTGAGCACGAAACTCAAAGTTCCGGCCTGATTTGAACATAATACTCACTTGGAAAGAAACCTGAATAGTGTTATCGAGTCGGTCACTGTATGTTTCCGTTACAACTAAAGGGAACTTCCCAAAGGAGCACCCTATTGAATGCTATACACAGTCAAAGCTGCAAATTGAAGTGAGCCTGACACGCTTTGCTACACAAATCGAGAATAATATTCCAATAGAGAATATGCGTCATCCGTTACAGTAAACAATTATGCCAGAAACGACTTCCCGGGCATCGTTCAGTAATGAAAATGATGTGGAATGATTGTAGCACGGGATGCGGATGTTGATATTGGTGAGTTCTCCGAGCTGAAGTGTTGTTCGCAAACGTTTCGTAGACAAGCTAGACAATATCATCAGTTGCCTAGCTTGGATACGAAACTTCTGCGAACAACACCTCCTGCTCGAAGAGCTCACCAACACCAACATCGTTCAGTAATGTTTCAGCCTGTCTAAAAGAGACTAAATAACGGTTTCATGATGATTTTGGTCCCAGATTATCAGTTTCACCAAAGAGAACGCCAAGACCGCTAGCTGATAGTTTTATATAAACAAAAAAACGGTATATGATAACGTTTGGACAAATTTCAAATTCTGTAATGGGTTAGCGGGTACGCATCGCTAAGGGATTTTTATGGTAGTGGAGCTCAAACCTGGTTCATTTCAATTATTTGGTTACCTGGGTAAAGTCATGATTGTTCAACAAAGGAAAGTTTATATGATGAACTTGTCGTGTAATTGAGGCCGACCAGACCGTTTTTCATTTTGTTTATATCTGATGTACTGGAACCTGTCTGGGCACGCTTATTACAGGCATCAAACCTCGTGTATTTCAGAAGCATCTACGGTATGACTCAATTTGAAAAATGACGAACCTGTCATTTACATAAGATTAGTGGCGGATTCAACCCAATTACCTAGTGTATCGAGCTTGCGTTCTTCCTGTGAGGGCCGGGGCTTTGCAATGCAGATGAAAGCCTGACCCCCAGCTGTGCAACGCTCCCCAGTGTTGTGAGGTATTGCTCACACTTGCTAGTAGTTTGTACGCACCAAGAAGTGGCTATTGGATTTCCATCGAACGGATTGGAGAATTTTCTTTTGTCATTGAGGAAGATTCACATCTACTATCGGAAAGCTACAATACATATCCTGTGTGATTGTGGGGATTCCGAAGACTTGTTTCAAATGAGATTTTTTGTTGTATGCATGCCAATTTAATGGTACGCTTACTATTATTTGTAATGAATGAATTTCCTCGTCCCAGCACTGTGTTGTGGATTTATACCACCAGCATGTTTAGTTCACACCTCGTTTGCTTTGTACACGAAAAATCCACTGCATAATAAATTACAAATTCTCTGCTGCTCTCCTGAGTTGTACTCTGTTTATTTTGAGATGACAACCAATCGTATCAATCTAAAGCATACGTTTAATCTGTGGTAACAGATTTAACTTATTGCAGACTCCCTTGCCTGAGCGCTTGGGAAGACGGAANTTCATTCCTTTTTCTTGTAGATTGGGGAACTAAACTAGGCGCACTGCAGTTGATTGTAGTTTTATTCGACTTTTTCAAATAGTAGCCTGGTTCATCCTGGAAGCTTCAATGAAAATTAATAGGGAAAGAAGTTAATTGATTTGAAGTATGTAATCATCATTCACACTGTTCTTTGTATTAGAATAAGGGAGGATTTGTTATTTGTTTTTATGATGAATTCGTCGCGTAAATGAAGCGTGAGCTGGAAAGCTGGGAAGTACTGGGGACAGTTGTTTCGATCTGTTTAGGTCTCATCAGGACCAGTGCACAAACAGATCAGGTATAAAAAAAATGTAAAACGGTCTGATCCGCTTACCACTGGCCTAGTGGGTAGTGTGCTTGTGTTCCATCGGTCAGGTACTCAGTTAGGTCAATGGGTTCACGCTGCTGGTGAAATGAGACTGGATTGAAACGACTGTAACGTTATCTGATTTTTTCAAATCAAGCTTCATTTGCTCCGTACACCATGAAATCTATCTTATAAACTCTATTTTTCCCACACTATATTTGGGAAATAGTCGTTGCCATTACAAAACAAAGTCACTGAAGCTCCGAGAATAGCGCTTCGTCATGCTTTGTTCAGCCATTCGGGTGAATGCTGTAGGTGTGCTTCTGAGATTGATTTGTGCCTAAATCTAGAATAGAAGATATACAATCCAACTGGAGCCCTGCTAGTTTGCAAAGCGAAAGTTTGACAGTCAAATACAGACCGTTCACTCGCGTTTCGAGTTGCTACTCTGCACATGTCTTTTACCGGATGAATCTGTTGTCTGCTACTTCTCCCGAATCATGTCTGTGTGGTAAACAGTCCAATGGTGTGAGTCGCGGGCGAGTGGGCCTGCCAGGGTAGAGAGAAATTCAGTTACCATCTAAACTGACAGCTACTCTTGAAAGCTAATGGCTAAAAGGTCATTCAGTTTTCTGTCAGAACACTGCGGACAACCAACACTGACTGTGGGCAATATAGACAAAAATTCTGTGTATGAGAAATCTTTGAACGATTTAACTATGCCCACATGTGAGTGATGATGTATAAGTTTCTGTAGTAATCGGAATAGTATTGAATATAGGAATACGAGAGCCCATACTGTAATACTCAGAACTGGATTGGCTCCGACACGAACTGTGGACGCTAATGCAATACACGGAGAATTGGTAGCAGCAAGTGTCAATCTTTATTCATAGAAATATAACATGTTTTATAGAAGGCAACAGGCCATATCATTGGTTGAAGGACCATCGTCCAATCACGTAACCGTTTGCGCAGACGCATCATATGTACTAACTCTGATGTAATGTTCGCCTGGTGTACCATTTGTCCAGCTTATTGAACTCTGATTGGATGACATGAAGCTGTACCTGGTCGTACTTAGAATGCGGTCATGTATGTCTGGATCACCACAGTTTCCTTATATGTTGTCGGGTTTGAACAAGGTAACGGTTTCACAGTTTGATGAAGAAATCAATAAACCACACAATACATTTGAAGTCTAAAAATCTTTTCAGACATCCATATATGTCACCAGGTGATCTTTTCCTAAGAGTAAACAAAGCGTTTGATTTTCATTATTTACAAAACGGGATGCTACCGAACCGACCAAAATCATGACCAAAATAAAAGATATTATTCGGTGGGATTTTTCTGTATGGGTTAGCAACTGTTTCAGATTTGCTTGCCAGGTATGAGTAGTATATTTTGCATCCCCTCCCCTCCCCCCTCCCCCGCTGAGAGTGAGATTCACATTTACAGACCTTGGTATAAGTGACCGTGCGCAGACAAAATTGTTCAAGCACATTTTGCTGGGGCGCCTAAAGTTTCGTCATATGACGTCTGAACACATGAGATCACGTGTTCCGCAGCCTCCCGGCTTCGTTCGAACCAGTTTGTAAGAGTGGATCGATCGAAACGGCTTCCATTTCACAATTATCCAATCCCACAGCATCACCTGACCCATGAACGCATGTGAATTGGGAAGCAAAAGATCCGATTGGTATTTGACTCAATTCATTCGTTCAATGTGAGAACTGAATGGGCAATAAGCCGAGCTGTGACTCAGTGCATTACGTGCCAGTCGGTCCAAGAACATGCGAGATCGCGAACAGAGGACGCACACAAGCCCTACACCCAAGTCGTTCTACGCATGCGAACAAAAAGCCCGGACTGTATTTGACACAGGATAGTGACGACATCCTCCCCTTGTCCACGATGCGTTCACACTCACTGCACGTGACCGATAGCACGTGGTGTTCCAGTATTTCCCAATCAAACACTCTGAAGTCGACTATTCACGGTTCAGTAGAACAAACAGATGCACTTTTTGGTACCAAATCCATCTCAAATGAGCTATCACCGGAAGAGAAGTTTACCAAATTACGAAAGAAATGCAAACGAAATGGTGTAAAGCAATCGATAACTTTAGTAAAACATANTTCCGTACCGCCAGCTGGTAAACCTCCCTTGGAAATGGAACCGAGAACAAAGGAGACATTCAAATCAGGCAGCTCGAAAAGTGTGCGAACCGAGGCGCGCGCAGGCCAGTTCGAAATGAAAGCATTGATGAACTCACAAACCACAGATGCGACCGGGGACAACCAGGTGGAATCAGATCAAACGTTAGATATAGTTTCTGTGACCAGTATGAGTCCGGCCTCTTTGCCACAACCCCCACCAAGAAACGATCTCACCGCCGGATCCAGAAAACCAGGAGCGCTAAAAGTAGTTCGTCGTTACAGTTCGTGTTTTCGACTAGTCAAAGGGGATGGTGAATATGTGCGGAAAACATGTCTGGCCCGAGCTAGTACACTACAGAAGTCGAGTTTGGTAAAGGAATCGAAAACAGATCTGAACAGTATGAAACCGTATCCGAACGAGCTGAGTCGAGCAGAAAAAGCCGAATGGAATAGTCCCACATCAGAACCGACGAATCCGACCAAGGAAGCAAATCCTTCGGAACCGGATGACTGTGAACTCAACCAGTCCTATTTTTCCACGGAATCAATAAGTCACATGAATTTCCTGATTCGAACGATGCTACTGGAACAAGACGGTTTGCGTAAACAATATCAACTTTTATCGGACGAGCGATCCACTCTGGCGGATGAGGTACAACGATTGCATTCCCGTTTAGATGCAAGTCGTGATGCCGGTTTGAAATTGGAGACCGAAAACGGACGCTACATTAGTGATGCCCTGAAACACAAATATTTACTGGCTGAGAAGACGCAACTTCAGTTAGAGATCGATCGTCGAAAATTGGCTATTGAAGCTAAGGAAATGGAACGACGTGAGTTGCTCATGGAATTGGATCGTTTACAGCGTTTGAAAACCTGCTCGGAACGTCAATATCAGGATGCTTTGATGCAGTCGAATTTTACCAGTCAACAATTGCGTGAGATGAGTGAGAAATGTTCCAGCATGGAACTGCATCAAGACGATAGTAGTAAGTTGCGCAAGATGATGTACAACCTGCAAGAGGTTATGGGTCGTATCCGAGTGATTGCTAGTTTACGACCTACTGTGCACGAGTCATGTCTGACTTATTTGAACTCCGCCGAACTGACTTTCACACCACCCAATCCAAATGATAGCAATCGGATGTTTTCGAAAATTCGTCACCCAGATACGCGTCCGGGTGAAATTAATGAACCAGTTCTTTGCCAATTATCTCATGTGATTTGTCCCGGATCATGTGTCCCGCTGGAAATATATAATGAGTTGAGCAGTACAATTGATGGTGTGAGTAACGGGCTAAATGCTCTGCTTGTCAATGCTGGTCCCGTTCAATCGGGTAAAACCACAGCCATGTTTGGCAGTCGGTTTAAACTGGACAACTGGTCCGATCTGGGCACAACAAATTTCCAAACAAAACAACGGACCAACATCAAAAAGGATAAAAAATTGACCAGTTTGAAACAGCTGATCAAATCTGGTACAACTGCGTTTGCCGATTTGATACATTCGGAAGAATTTGCCACATGTTACGGTCTGGTCGGACTCTGTCTGATGCAGCTGGTCAAACAGATCGAGGCTAAAGCATCCATTCATATTCGCGAAGGGGAAGTCACACGGAAGGAACTGCAAGCTGTAACCGTGTCTGTTCTCACGATCCCGTTGGACGATGGAATCCCGGGAGCAGACCTGATCGGAAACAAATCGATCAAATGTCCTGCACAAACATATGATGACGAAACCAGTACGGGTACAGAGAAAAAAAATAAATCTATCAAAATCGATCTGAAACAACACGCATTGAACACTCTGGCTGAAGTGATCACTTTCTGTGACTTCATACGGCATCGAATGCGATCGAAACGGAGCACAAAATCGCCCGGTTCAGTGGACTATTCAACCCGTCATTATTTCCCAGCTCACACCGTGATTATTATTCGAATCAGCCAGCCGGTGATCAGTGGGAAGCGACCGAATGCAGCATGCCCGCACAACGGTCTCCTCATTCTGGTAGACACAGTCGGTCTGGATGGCGATTCAATGAACACAACGGGATTAGTTCATCCCACGCAAAGTGTCGCTCGTCGTCACGCTTTGCACGCGTGGAAAGATGTGGCCGCATTGGCACAGATGATTAGAGTCAACCCTAACCCGATCTGGTTTGAACGGAATCGTCTTCTACGAATTTTGCGTAGTTGCATGCTTCAGAACGGGGTAAATCCCAACACACGGCGAACCGGTTGCACTTTACTGCTCCACTTGCCTTGTGATCAAAGCCAGGCGTACACGACAATGCAATGTTTACGCCTGGGTCTGTGGGTTATGCAACTGAATCGACGTCAAAACGAACGACTCCGGTTCCCGCAAGATCATATCGTCACAGATGGAAAAACTGTTGGCGACGTGGAGACCAAATTACGCCCGATCTGTTTGTGGAAGATCGGTTCCATTGGTGTGGCATGTCCACTGGATTTTATGCGTGATCGGTTGAATCTTTCACAACGCAGTTTGACGAGTTTGGATCGGACAAGTCGCTGGTCCGTGCAGTATCCGATTGTGTCACCCGTGCAGAGCACTTCGTTGAACGAGTCATCTGATCCGTCGACAAGATCCGTGCAAACCAGACGCCAATCGCAATCACGACAAAACGCGATTTCCGGTACAGTCGGAGTAGGTAAATTGGAAAGAAATCAATCAATACGTTGATTGGGAAACGAAAAACGAGGACCGATAATGGTATTTCCGGACCATGCATATGATCATGAAATTCCAACAAGCCGGGACCCTTTCACATTCTGTAGGGTCAAACTAATCTATATGCTCGTCTATTTTCAAGACTCTTGTGTGCATATTATATTCGTATGAGGGAGTTCTGTGAGGAACCAAAGAATGTATACATAGACACCATGCAGTCTGTATTGTAGTAATTCATATAGTCACCAAATTAATAGATGTGAGCACTTCGGAAAACGATTTTTTCTTTTGAAATATCCTAATATGAGGGTGAAACCCACGGTCTTTACTAATGTTGTTGTTACTATAGTACCGTCACCACACTAAACTGAAGCGCATTAAGCATTGATGTGACATGACACTGAAATAGAGGGGTTGGAATTACGGTTGAGTTTCGTTAATTTCAACGATTTGGATACTGTAATCTGACACTTTTAGGGGAAAGAATATCAGCACAGTTTTGACAGGGGTTGTTGCTTTGGATGCAGTACGTTGGGATTTTATCGCATACGAAGATTAGATTCACAAAGATTTGTTTAAATTGTTGTTTGGCAGATTGAACTCTTATGCTGAAATAACCTAAGAAACATAGGTCTTCAATATGCCTAATAAAAATGAGAACAATTACCCTTACCTTACACGTTCAGTCGATGAAATCTAGTGAATTCCAAGGGAAACCTGTCAGAGCAGTCAGCTTACATGCGAATTGGTGAATGTCATATGCCTGTGTAAGTTGGATGGGTGATTCGGATGTGGAAAAATCGGTGCTGTCAATGTGGCCTCGTAGCTGAGCTGGTAGAGCATTCGCGCGCCGTACAAACGTCAGGGCGGCCTGTATGTGTGAATTCGAAGCCAATCGAGGCTACTGAACGTTTCACAATTTTAAACTCACACATCTTTACTCTTAAAGCCATTTGCCGTCAGTGGTCTTATTAATTTTTGATCGGTGAAAGAAAGCGCTAATCGCACTATTTTGCATACTACTCCTAGATGTTAGTAGTACCTCACGATACAAGAAAAAAACGTTTCACAAGCAGTTGGGTCTATACAGAACGTATTTTCAGCTCCTTTTTATTCATTGTATGTAGAAATGCACAGTGATCAGGATCAGATGAAATAGAATAGGCACTGGAGCAAAATGTCAGGGCGAATTTAGGGAACACAAAGACCAGCTGAACAAAGTAAATGTTGAACGCGATCTAGTGAGCACCACACCGACAAAATAACCCTGTCTGATTCCAAATGCAGACCATTAACCACGGTTTTAAAGGGACGCAAGCAGCCAATTGAAACCCTCAAACAGGATTAACTATATTACCCCGATCCCACTGAGGACTGGCGCTTCCCTAAAGTTGCACTGATGATGATGTTGCCTAGCTTGGCTACAAAACGTCTGCGAACAACAACATTTCCAGCTCGGAGAAATGAGTAACACCGACAAAGCCTTAATATGACTGTATAAAATGGAGTTTAGAAACATCATTCCCGGTGTGACATACAACCGCAGTGCGTGCATAGTGAGAGAAAAGAGGACATCAGAACGATTGTACGGTCGTATTGATGTCGCAAGGTAATCAAAACGGTCTGATACGATGCAAACTCGATTGCTTTTTTCACAGGATTATATAAAAGTTTTGTAATCTATTCCACGTGGACCAGACTCAATTCCTCCTGATAGCAACGTTATTGAAAAACGAAAAATACAGCTCACGAATACATTGGAAGATAATGCAACCAGTGTCTACTTGGCCTCAATGAAAGGAAGCAGCTAAGTGCATTAATTTTGGGCAACGTGCGATAGGGCATTCAGTTCTGCAAAACGACTGTGACCATCCACCGGCACAATAGACACCCTGTTTCCTACAGCCCGCAATCCTCAAGAATCTTAGGTTTGCATGCGATGAATATTTGAATTCTTCTCAAATGAACGTTGCTATGCCACCAATGGAAACCGTACATAGTTCGTGAGCGAACGAGTGAATGTGTACATTTTTGTGATCGTTGCATCCACACTTGGCTTGGTACTACACCTCCAACGTAGTTCTAGCCAAAACCCCAAGTCCCCGGGCTTCAGTGCACAATCTTTTAGCCAAAACCCGAAATCTTTTAGCCTCGACCAACAATCGTTTAGCCAAAACTTGAAATACTTTAGGCACGAACAATGTCGAAACACTTTATTTGCTACAAATTTTTCAATGTTTGACTGAGAAATGAGGTGTGGTGGTAGCATGCCGCAACACATGTTGATTGGAGAATGTTTGCACGATCTGCCCGTATCTTCAAACCATTTGCACATCTCGTACAGCTTCAGTGCTTCTCTATATTATGCGATAGTTCTGTGAGTAAAATTCTGAATTGTAACACAAACGATACATAGCTTTACATTTCCAAGCCCTGACGTGAATAAAAAAAGAGATACAATAGGACAGAAATCCTTCGGTGGTGTATCTCCATTTAAAGCGAACTCCGGTTCGTGAGAGATGGATACATTTGCAGACCGAGGATAATCAACACCGTTCAAAAAATGCACCCCCAATACTGATATAGGTTTATTAAAGCTGACATTTAACATAACTATGATAACCAAGGCTCAGTAATTACAGGTTTTGTCTAAAGCTTGATGAGAAAAAGTGTGCTAAAGAGAATGTCTTTCATTTATCCCAAAATACACAGATACTTTTTATATGACTCACCGACAGCGATATGATTAAAGTTTGTGCGTTCAAAATAACGAACTACGGGTTGAGGCTAAAGGATTGTCGATTTTGACTAAAGGATTGCTCGTCGCGGCTGAGAAAGTACTGAGTTTGTCTAAAACGTGATGCGAAAAGGTGTAGTAGAATAAATAAGCGGATTATGTGCCATGTGAATGATGAAGGATTTGATTTAATTTCAAAGGGAAAATTCGTCATGCATATAGTAAATGAAGCGTGAACTGAAAAGCTAAGACTCACCGGACGGCTGTTTTGACCTGGTTGGGTCTCAGCAGCAGCAATGCGATTCAATTGACTCAACTGGGGATCGAACCCCGGACCTCACAGGCAGAAGGCAAGCATGATACTCACTCGGACACCGGGCAGCTAATCAGACCGATTTCCATTTTCCATTTACATGATATAGCACAACCCCTCTACTGCTTTCTTGCTCATCTCAGCTCTAGGCTCCGGGGCTATGACTCGGTCGGAAACATTCACAACCTGACTACTTGTTTCATGTGCCCTGCATCTTGGGATGTTTCAGTAGGGTCGTTATGTTTGAAGTTCAAAGTTTTATTGTAGGTGATTTGACAATGCTAAAGCTTATCATTTCCCATAGGACTTCTACGGAATGTTTCGAATAACTTTGCAAATAGAAAGTAATTATAATAATATGCATGATCAGTCACAAAGATGTTGAAACGTCAAGTGTTCCAATGTTTTATCACGCTGCAATTTTTATCATTGCATGCACTCACCTTCTGTGGTGCTCATTTGGAAGTAGTTGAGAGCTTTAAGTACCTCNAAGTACCTCAGGAGCTTGACCGCGGTTGGTGTTGGTGTTGGGAAGAGATCACATCACGAATACCGAAAGCCAGAGCAGCCTTCGCCAACCTACGACACCTTTGACACCTCCATGACATCCGACTTCCCCTCAAGGGAAGAGTGTAGATAACTGCGGCTCGTAGTGTTCTACCCTACGGTTGTGAGACCTGGCACCTCCCCGCTGATGATGGGAATCGAATTTCTGTATTAGACCACCGATGTCTCCGAAGCATTGCCTGTGTCTGGTTGGAATATCGAGTGAGCAATGACGAGGATCGTCGTTGTGTGTTGGATGTGAATAGTCGTTCTCTAGCAGAAGTGATCACTTCAAACCGCCTCCGATGGATTGGTCACGTATTGCGTATGCCTGCCCACTGACTACCTTTCTGTGCTCTCTTCGCACGTGCCGAGCAAGGCTGGAAGAAGCTCCGCGGCGGTCAGACCCTGACATGGCTTGGAAGTGTGAAGAAGCTGGCTTAAGGTTTGGCTTCGGTTGGTGCAACCCGTCTTCCAGGTTGGGACCCAATGGATTAGGATTGTCGTTAGTTACAGACGCTCAGGGATATGGTCTAACATGGAAGTAAGCGACGCGAATGCTGTAAGGTCAGCCTGTTGAAATCCCGTGCCTCCCCCCATTGACTTGGTCAGGCAAATGGGCCTACATTTCAGTCAAAAATGTGTTCAACGTTACCATGGGATATAAAATGAAATAAACCTTCATATACAACAATGATAAAAATTAAAAAAGCGTTCACCTTTGTAGGTTTTAAATTAATTTGTCACAAATCTTCACCGTGTCACCGTGGGAATACGAGCCAAATAGGGACAAGTTGAGTTGTGATAAATGTGTATGCGAGAAGGCATCCAGAGAAAATTGGATCGGATTGTAACGCGGGAACGGCAAGCAGATAAACCGGGATTGAGCGGATAACTGGGGTTGTTGAGTATCTTATGAGCGGAATTCTCAAATGAAGTGATATGCAAATTACACCATTTTGTACTCTTGGTGTTTAAAGGAATAAGAGAAACACGACTGATAATTGCTAAACGGCGACGGACAGTAATGAAATCCTTTCTAAGTTGTCCAGGGAAAATAACGGACGAATAACAATGTATGACAGGAAAAATGCATTGATAAACAAAGGAACATACAGTTTAATGCTTCACTCAAAATTGTCGTAACTTGCATATTTGAAAAGATCAGCAAAGTAGTCTACTAACACAGGTTAGCGCATGAGAGGATCAGTGTAGATTGCTATCTATGGTGACTGCTCAGTATTTGATGGTGTTTTCTAGTGATGGGTATGGAATTGATGACTATTCGGATCGGAGAGATTAAAAATGCGCTCGAAGCATTTAGAAGTATTCAATCGGAGACCGGANTTGTCCAGGGAAAATAACGGACGAATAACAATGTATGACAGGAAAAATGCATTGATAAACAAAGGAACA